GCAGGCTAGTTGGCTAGCTGTCCTCATGCGGTTCTAGGCAAGTTATCCTCTGGCAGAGAATGGCTGGGCACTTGGTGGGAAGGGTGTAGAGGATCTTCAAGATCCGCATGGGCATATAAACTACATGGATTTGAAGTTTTCCTAAAACGTTCAGAGGGAAGCTGGAAGACAGAAGACTAGGAAGTAGGTCGCTATTTGCAGTTTCTAGGACAAATTCCTTAGAGTGTAATCCTGACTAGTCTTGCTTGTAGATCATCATTTTAAACAAGCAAGGCTTAAATTGCCCGATTTCTTCCTATTTTCTTCAGTGGAATCATGTCACACTTACAGAGAAATAGATGAAAAACACGTTCATTTTCAGTCAAATGTTCATCAGCCCAATCCCATAGCATTAGGGGTGGTGAGCAATGATGATGGCCTGTCTTATTTTGTTCCCAATGTCCCTTAGCACAATAGCCATGTCTTGCTTTTAGTTTGCCCTGGTTCCAGAAAAGGCTTTATCTTATCCCCAATTTCTTTTTTCAAATCATTGGCATGTTCTCACATATCGCACGTGAAATAAATCAAGTTCAAAATGACTTTACATTGGGACCAGCAGCTAGTGCAATGGCTATGTCACTGGACTCCCATGTAGTCGACCATGGTTTGAGTCCCGGACCTGGTGGCTTAAACTCAAGCCGGGCACGTGTGCGTGCGTGCCCAAGATCCCGAGAGGAGAATGGAGGAGAAGGGATTGCGGCGTGGCCATCCCCCCTGGGGGGGTGATTTCTTGTTTTCTGTCTCTCCGTCTCTCTCCGTCTGTCTGGCGAGCGCACACGCCCCAGAGCAAAAAGCTCTCCAAAAAAGAAGAAAAAAAAAATGACTTTACGTTGCTGTGAAGGGATTGCGGCGTGGCCATCCCCCATTGAGGAATGAGTTCTCACTTTCCCTATCTCAGTCTCTCTTTGGTGAGTGCACACACCCTATGGTAAAACCTAAATAAAGAAATAGGGACCAGCAGTTAGCGTAATGGCTATGTCACTGGACTCACATGTAGTCGACTGTGGTTCACATCCCGGACCCGGTGGCTTAAAACTCACGCCAGGCGCGTGTGCATGCGTGCCCAAGATCCCGAGAGGAGAATGGAGGAGAAGGGATTGCGGAGTGACCATCCCCCCTGGGGGGTGATTTCTCACTTTCTGTCTCTCTGTCTCTCTCTGTCTTTCTGGCCAGCACACGCACCCTATAGCAAAAACCTCTCAAAATAAAAAGAAAAAAAAAATAAAAGAAATAAACAAGACTTACAACACTGCCTGGTCACAGTAAGTACTCAATAATGTTTGTTGCTGTTGTTATTTTTTATCACTATTATTAAAGAAAACAATACACTACATTTCAAAGCTTTGAAATGTGGTCCTATTTTTGGAACATTAAAACAATTTCTGGGGCCAGCACGTAGCGGGTGGTTAAGGAAATCAGTAAACTATGACTGACAAGGGTTTAGTCTTGATGTGGCCTGCCATAAAGTTTGACATCATCTTTCAAATTCAATGGTTTGGGACGCTCTAATCACTTGGAGTCTTTTTTTGAGATTAAAAAGCAAAGAGATGCATGCAATTACAACATGGCGGGCTCTACTTCTATCACTCTGAGCGCTGTGGCCTTAAAGAAATTAGTAGACATCTTAGAGTGTCCACGTCTTAATTGTAATGAGGAGATAATAACAGTACAACATAGGGTTGTTGTGAGGATTACATGAATTCACACCTATAAAAGACTTATGGGGCCAGCAGATGGTGTAGTGGTTAAGGTGCTGGACTTCCACATGGCCAACTATGGTTCGAATCCTGGACCCGATGTCTTGAAAAACATGCTAGAAGCGTGTGTATGCATGCCCAGAATCCCAAGAGGAGACTGGAGGAGAAGGAATTGCAGCGTGGCTATACCCCCTTGGGGAATAGCTGATTTCTCACTTTCTCTGTCTCTCTACAGTGAGTACATGTGCCCTGTGGCAAAAAAATAAAAACTACTACAAATAATAAGTTAATTAATTAAGCAACTTAAAACAAGTGAACCAAAACACAAGACTTACAACATTGCCTCATCACAGTAAGTACTCAGTAATGTTTGTTACTGTTGTTATTTTATTACCACTATTATTTCACTACTATCATTACCTTCTGTTTCAGGCAGTGGATTCTCCTCCTGTAAAACGCATTTACATTTGTTGCTGTCCCATAACATGTCAATAGGACAGGGTTTCTTGGCATTTGAACAGCTAGGAAAAGAAAACAATACACTGCATTTAAAAGTGTTTAAGAGTAAAAAAAAAAAGAAAGAAAGAAAAAAAAGCATTTACGAGTAGTCATATTTTTGGAACTTTAAAACAGTATCTGGGGGCCAGCAGCTAGCGTGGTGGTTAAGGCTCTGTACTCCCACAATGGCCAACCACAGTTTGCGTTCTGGACCCGGTCACTTCAAAATCATGCTGAACATGTGGGCATGCACGCCTAAAACCCTGAGGGCAGAATGGAGGAGATAGGATTGCTTGCAGCATGGGGTGGGGGGGATTTCTAACTTTCTCCTCTCTGGCAAGCATACACACCCTATGACAAAAACAAAAATTTCTCAGTGGAGAATAAATTTCTTAAACTTATTTTTATTTCAGTTGGGAGAAACAAGTTTTTGAACTCTATTGCACAGCGTGGCGATTCCAGTTAATAATAATGTTTTGTACATTTCAAAATTGCTGAGAGTAAATTTCAAATATTCTCACCACAAAAAAATATTAAGTATGTGAGAATAGTTAAGATTGTTACAGGGACCAGCAGTTAGAGTAATGGCTATGTCGCTGGACTCCCACGTAGCTGACCGTGGTTCAAGTTCCAGACCTGGTGGCTTAAACTCACGCCAGGTGCATGTGCGTGCGTGCCCAAGATCCTGAGAGGAGAATGGAGGAGAAGGGATTGTGGCGTGGCCATCCCCCCTGGGGGGTGATTTCTCACTTTCTGTCTCTCTGTTGAGCGTATGCGCCCTATAGCAAAAACCTCTCAAAAAACAAACAAACAAACAAAAACAAAAACAGATTGTTACAAAGTGTAATTCATATTTACGAGTGACATCTTATTAGTAATTCTGTAATTACAAATGTTCTATTTGGAAACTAAACTGCAATTTTGGAAAGTTATGAGCTTTTTAAGAAGATTGGTGGAAAAACTATGTAAATTGTAGCTGTCAACAGTTTAATAAAAGTAATTATTATTCTAACATACCTCCTAAAATGATCTTTAAAATGGAGATAAGAACATTAGCCAGGACAGCAGGAGCAAATATTCTTTTCCTATAAGCTCTCTCTTCTGCTCAAGAGAGGTAAAGGCGCTTTCTTGAGTCAGTGTTAACTAACAATCACTAGCTTACCCCTTCACTCGCCACTCATAAAAATATCTATCGCTTTTCATTTGCAAAATTTAAATTTCTAACTTCATTCCTTTTCTTTTTCTTTCTCCTTTTATTTATTTATTTTTTTAATTTGCTATAGGGTGCGTGTAGGTACCAGAGTCAGAGAGAGAGTGGGAGAAGCTGAGCAAGCAGCCCTGGGAGGATGGCTGTGGTACAATCCCTTCTCCTCCATGCTCCTGTCTGGATATTGAGGATGCACACGTAAGCACTCAGTGTGTTTTCCAAGCTGCAAGATCCAGAACAGCCCCTTATCAGTGCTTGTACTTTGCCCTTTATTTGTTTCTCTGTATTAAATTGTTTTCTTTTCCAAATCAATGATCCTTACCTTTGGTTTCAGAACACTTTAGGGTGTCATCATTTATCTTATAATCACAAATGTAGTCTCAAGAAAATTTCAATGTGGCATTAACTTTAAGTCCATTTCATTTAAAATAAGAATTTTCCACTTGGCACTCTTAAGGGGATAGGTTTGAAAAGTACAAAACTCATACACTGATAGTTTTGCCACTTCCCAATGACTCCAGGAGTCCCCTGCCCCCACCCCCAGCCTGTTTCAGGACTTACACATTACAAATAGCCTGAAACTAAGTTTACTTAGTGCCTTTTGTGGAATGGGGAGACATGTGCCAAATTTGAGGCAGGAAATATTTTATAACTGTATTAGACTCTGCATATTAAGAACAAAGGGATCTACAAGCAGACTGCTGAGTTCATAACTGCTGAGCTTTTTGGTCTCACCATGAATCACACCTAATCAAAATATTTTTTATATAATATTTTAAATAATATTTGCCAAACAGTTACTACCAGCAGATCTGAGCTAGAAACTAAAAGATGAAGAACTGGAAGACAAAGCTATGACTCTAGAATTCATGATGTATTCTCTACATGTAGCTTTGGCACAGGCAAGAACAAGAATAACTGCGCGCGCACACACATGCACACACACACGAAAGCTTACAGATCTTCTTCTGGGATCTGGATGGATCTTCTGATAATTGAGTATGGATGTCGGGGGGCTGTTGGCAAGCATTTACAACCTGTATGGTTGGCGACTTTGACAGGCACTAATTCAGGTACTGAGGTCAAAGGCACTGATATCTCAAAGAGCTATAACAGAGAGAGATAACCACAATGCATCTATTATTTTATTTTATATAATATATCTAAAAATTTCTATAGTCTGCATTTTTGCCTTTGTCATTTATGGTAGTGACTTAGCAGAGTTGTTGATTAAGAATGAAACTAATAATGGTGAGAGCTCACAGAATGCTGGGCTGGGAGTCAGGAGGCTGAGCCTTCTCACCATGAATCACACCTAATCAAAATATTTTTTATATAATATTTTAAATAATATTTGCCAAACAGTTACTACCAGCAGATCTGAGCTAGAAACTAAAAGATGAAGAACTGGAAGACAAAGCTATGACTCTAGAATTCATGATGTATTCTCTACATGTAGCTTTGGCACAGGCAAGAACAAGAATAACTGCGCGCGCACACACATGCACACACACACGAAAGCTTACAGATCTTCTTCTGGGATCTGGATGGATCTTCTGATAATTGAGTATGGATGTCGGGGGGCTGTTGGCAAGCATTTACAACCTGTATGGTTGGCGACTTTGACAGGCACTAATTCAGGTACTGAGGTCAAAGGCACTGATATCTCAAAGAGCTATAACAGAGAGAGATAACCACAATGCATCTATTATTTTATTTTATATAATATATCTAAAAATTTCTATAGTCTGCATTTTTGCCTTTGTCATTTATGGTAGTGACTTAGCAGAGTTGTTGATTAAGAATGAAACTAATAATGGTGAGAGCTCACAGAATGCTGGGCTGGGAGTCAGGAGGCTGAGCCTTACCCACCTTTCTGAAGTATCTAACTTTGGTCAAATCTCTTAACATTTTGGTGTCACTGGGACCCTTGTAAGATGGTACACGTCAGCCCCTGCTCCTGCTTTAAAGTGGAATGCAAATTGTAAGGCCTTGATGAGATTAAAGCTATGAAGGTGCTGTGAAATCTTGGTGGATAAGATTATTATTCAAACCGTGTACTTATCCCTTCTCAGACCATCTCTTTTGAAGAAATATAATTTCATGTCTCTTGACTTTAGACTCAGCCACGTCACTGCTTTGGCTAGTGGGACATTAGTAGACATGACACAAGTACAAACTTGAACTATGCATGCACGCGTTCTGGGATTTGTTTTCTTGTGCTTATGCTGTAGCCACGGAAAGAGTATGATCCGGCAGGCTTGAAGGAGGCACAGGGAGCAGACTTGGACTCATGAAATCAAGTGAAGCTGAGTCTACCCTCAACTGACTGAACCTCAGATACTTGACTGAGACTAATTCATTATCATGTGAAGACACAAAATTTGAGGATGCTTGTTATGTAGCATTGTGTATTAACAGCTGACTGATACAAGACTATCATGCCCAAACAAATAAATATAGCTAACACCTATATCATTCTTTCTATGTTTCTAAATGTTAGATCCTGCATTTTTATATTAATTCATTTACCCTTTATAGTAACGCTACGGGATGGGGTTTTTAATTATCCTCATCCTACAGATGAAGAAACAGACATACAGAGGAATTGTGTAATTTGCTAGAGTGGTTTTTGGATATGTGCGCTGGGTTATTTGCCACTCCTCATCTATAACTGCAGAGAGCAAGTTCATGTCGGCCAGTAGATGACATGGCCCTGGACTTGAACTTCATGCACTGTCCATTCAATCATCATTCCATGCCGTCCTTACTACATCGACTATTCATTTACTCTGTTTCTAAAAGGTAGTTCACCAAATAGTCCATAACTTTTGGATAAGAGGTAGGTTTTTTTTTAATGATCCATTATTAAAATGTTCAAATATGCTATTTGCAAAGAAAAAACTGCTGTACACTTAGGCTTAAGTACATTCTTTGAAACTAATCATTTGCTGAGTACAACTGTCAAAATACTCAACTATCTCTTACGAGGAAACAATCCATTAAAGTTGCATTTATTCTGACCTCTCAATATGTGACGGGACATCCATGCGTCTAAGAGTGTTTTGAGAGTGTTTGCTTTGCATAAACATCTTCTCGTGCAATTCTTCAGCTACGCTCTAGGGAATAACATGATCATAAAGTCAATCCTCTTTATATTGAACAAGCTTTGTTTCTACCAACAGTGGATGCTTAGCCATACTCGGGTCTTTTGTGATTGTTAGCCATACCCGGGTTTTTTTTTTTTTTTTTTTTAATTGTCAAATAATAGAGGTCAGAATATTCACAAGTTCCAAGATTCTTTCAAAGGATTTAGGGAAAAAACCCTCCAGTTTAAAGGATATTTTAGAGGGTAAGGGAAAGAAAATTAAGGGTAAGTTAACCAATTAACAAAAAAAATTGGCATTGAGGTAATTAACTAACATGGGCATATTTGGTACCTATGGAGTTTTTATTGTACTATCTCTTCTCAGGATCACAAAGGAAGATTGTATAGGCCAATGTGACAAGAAAGCAAACCAACCACGTGAGGAATTCACAGCAAAGAACCAAAAGGAAAGTATTCAATAGTTTGACTTGTAGCTTTTTAGCATTGTTTTCCTGGGTTTGTTACCACTGCTCACATAGGCAACATTTATCACATTTTACAAAAACACTGTAGACATTGAAAGCGAAATGTATCTACTGGGCAAAGGGGATCTTCAAAGGTGGAGAGGAGAGAATACTTCTTTCATGGGGACTGCAGAACTATTTACAAAGGGCTCAGGCTGAATCTTCTCTATTTGCTCCTCTTTCTCCCTTCCCCACCAGGCTCTGTGCCCAGCTCTGAGCCCCATGACTGCATCTATAGGCTTCTTGCCTCTCTAGCCCTTGTCTCCTCTCCCTGCCAGGCTAAGAATTAGGCAGTTGCTGGTCCAGCATCCCTCTTGTCCACTTCCCCTCAGGGTTCCTGTAACTGCTCCTTTACCTTGCCTCTTCAGTCTAAAGGTGGGAAACGGCTCCCCCTTTTTGCTGGCGCTAGGTGCTTCCACATCCCTTCCCCCAGCCCTGCCCACCCTTCACTGAGCTCTTCTCAGCCACTCCATCTGAGTAACACAGAACCTAACAGATGCACAAGACAGTGCTGTTAACCACCTCCTTCCTGTTAACCACCTGTGCTAGTAACTTCCATATGGTTTTATCATCCTTGACTTTATAGCACCAGAGAGACAGTAACTATTAAGGGGTCAGACTCTGGAGTCCCACAGACCTGGGTTTGAATCCCAGCTCTGCCACTTGCCAACTATGTAACTTGAGATAAGTATGTCTCCTAAGGTCAGTTTCCTTGTCTACAAAGAAGGCTGAAATACCCTCTTAGCTCGTTTCAGGGGTTAAACGAGATGGCATCTAGTACCGTGCTTGGCAGCGAGGTCAGCTGTAGCTGCCGACACGGTGGCCATCCGGGCTTGGGCGAGCGCACTCGCTGACGTCCGCGTACCTGTTTGGAAACGTACGAGGTGCTGGTGTTCGTGCAGACCAGGCTTTCCTCATTGCAGCAGCCGCCGCACCGGAACACATTCACGCAAGGGGGCTTGAAGAACGTGTTGGTGCTCCTCCCCAGCTCGCTGGCAACCTCCACGCACGTCTCTCTGGGGCTGCACTGGGTTCTTTGCCACTCCTCATCTATAACTGCAGAGACCAAGCTCATGGGGGACAGCAGAAGACGTGCTTCTGACATGCCGAACGCAGTCCTCTCCATGCGCTTACTGCTTGTTTATTCTACTAGATGGGTGCTTTTTTCCAGTCAGTCCTTTAACCAAAGATGACAGAAAACTTCCAATCCAAATCTGTGTTCCGTCCCATTCATACTATACCTTCACGGAACATAAGGATTTTATTTCCCTTTGGAGAAGAATGCCACAGCCCTTACATAATCACATCGGACACCTCTGGAGAAGCTGGCTAACACAGAGGGAAGCACGTAGAGAAATAGCATGTAACTGTTTTTATCAAGCAGTCCACAGCAGACAGCTGGATAGCAATGCTGCTTGAAGCCAGGCGCAGGTGGTTTTAGCACTATCGAGAAATGTGTTTCTGTTGGCTGTTTAAGTGAGAATAGAGGGATTTAAACCTGGCAAAAATAGGAATGGAGATTTAAGTGGAACTAATCTTTCCTCAAATCAGAGTTTCCTCATTTGCAAGTGCTTGATACTGATGTTTATATAAAATGATACCATAAACCTGTTCATTTTTATGGAAGGAGTGATCCTCTGGCCACAGCTCATTTGAAGAAAACAAGAAGAAGAGAACCAAGCCTTTGGGGATGAAAAGAAAATGACATGTTTTCTTGTAAAACAGTGCTTGTTTTTCTCTCAGTTTTTTTTTAATTAGTTTTGGACAAGAATAGTTACTGCTATATAGCCTTTCTGTGGCTATTGTTTGGGGAAGATTCAATTGTGTGATACACACACTTAAGGCCTTCCTCTTAGCACGCTATAGCACTGAAGTTTGCTGTACGTTAGGGATAGTGGTGAAAAGCTCTTGCAGTAGGTAGTTTCGAAGCTGACTCCCAATAATCCCCACCTCCTGGTACTCCCATGTTGTGTAATCCCTTCCCCCTAATGTACGGGCTAAACCTACTGTCATGCTTCTCTCTCTCTTTTAAGGTTTTTGCTATAGGGCACGTGTGCTAGCTGGAGGGAGACAGAGACAATGGAAGGAAAAGTGAGAAATTATCCCCCCCTGGGGGGCCATGCCACCATCCCTTCTCCTCCTTTCTCCTTTTGGGATTGCGGGCATACACACGCACATGCCCAGAATGATTTTCAAGCTGCCAGGTCTGTGACCCGAACCGTGTTCAGACGTGTGTGTGTTCAGCACCTTAACCACCAGGTCACCTGCTGGCCCTAAGCATCTTTTTTGAAAAATTTTATTTTATTTCTTTCATAAGAGAGGAGGGTGCATGAGAGACAGGCACCCCCAACAGGATCTCATCATGATCCTCTTCCTCCAGCTAGTCAGAATCCTGGGTGCATGGGGTCTGCTGTGTTTCAGGTCGACCCCAGATCTGAGCCTGCAGTCAGCCCTGTGGCTTCTAGCACTGCCAATCAGTATGCTACCCACTGCGCTACCAAGGCTGGGCCAGTGACTTGCTTCTTGTGAAGAGAATATATCAAAAGTGATGGGAAGCCACTTCCAGGCTTAGGAAACAAGACTCTGTGGTGTATCTGGTCTCCTGCTGGTGCACTCTTTCTCTCAGTCTCTCACTTTTTTCTTTTTCTGGAGAGGTTTTTGCTATAGGGCACGTGCACTTGCCAGAAAGACAGAGAGAGACAGAGAGATAGAAAGCGAGAAATCACCCCCCGCGGGGAATGGCCACACCACAGTCCCTTCTCCTCCATTCTCCTCTCGGGATCTTGGGCACACACGCGCATGCACCAGGCATGAGTTTAAGCAACCGGGTCCAGGACTCGAACCACGGTTGACTACATGGGAGTTCAGTGACACAGCCATTACACTAACTGCTGGTCCCAGACACTGAGTTTTTAAAATCACCTCGTCTTGGTTTTATGGTGATGTTTGGTCATTTTCATGGAATATAGCCAGGTTCACGTCAAGCCTTTGGCTAGGCAATCTGGTTAAAGCTTTTGACCCAACCCCTTTGATTTCATGAAGTCCATGCTAACTCACCATATGGAAACAACTAGAACTTTAAACCCCTGGCTGATGTGGCTTCGAATCCATGCTTCCTACCATCTCAATTCACTTAGGTACACAGTCCTACACATGAACATAGGGCATGCTATTCACTCTCATGCCCATGGTGCTGCCAAGGGCCTTTTCCCCATCTGGCACAGCCTTCCCCACGGCCAACCACAGACGGCTATGTGACATCATCGCCTCTTTACCAATGGAAAAAATAATGACAACTCTAGGGAGAAAGAAAAGAATAATTTTGGTTTAGGAGTCTACTTGCATCTAATCAGTTAGCAGGTATTCATGTAACTAAAATCTGTAACGCTAGATCAACAATGACACAGTAGATCTTGTGTTATTTTGGTGTATCATCAAAAACTTAAATGCTGGTTGTCCCAGGGCCTAGTGGTTCAGGGAGCCAGATCCCACATGGTCAACCACACCATTTTAATCCCAGCCTCAGCAACTTGAGAAACACTCTGTGTTTGGGGCATGCATGCCCCAAATCCTGACAGGATGGAGAAACAGAAGAGAAGGGCATGACCATCTCCCATTGGGGGAGGTGCTTTCTTCCACTCCCTCCCTCTCTATCTCACTGCCTCTTTCTGGCAAGCACATGCACCTTCTGGCAAATTTTAAAAAAGGAAAGGAGTTAAATGCTTAATTGGAGGCTACACAACTTTATTTGACAAGCATTTCATTCATAATGGCATAGTACATACATACAGTGATTTTCTTACAAAGAACCTCTCCATATTTTACTGGGGAATGATAATTCCCTTTATTTCAAATTATGTTATTTTCTAGTCTGGAGTTTGAATTATTTTGTCAAAAGAATGTTTTCCCTCCATTATTCTCCTGGTATACTTTTAGCCATTATGATGTTGTAACTTCCAACTTTCACTTTTTACTTTTACTAAAAATCACAGAATTTTGAAGAAATAAGAAAGCTATACCTAATATATTGGTTTTATCAATGTATGCATGGCAGTAGGATGCTCCTCCTTGATGAACACCTAGTTTGCGTTTTTAAGTACATCTTATTTGTTTATTTTATTTTATTTTATTTTTTTGCCATAGGGAACATGTGCTTGTTGGAGAGAAAGAGAGACAGTGAGAGGGAAAGTGAAAAATCACTCCCTGGGGGGATGACCATGCCACAATCTCTTCTCTTCTTAGAATTCTGGGCATGCACACACACATGCCCAGTGTGATTTTCAAGGCACCAGGTCTGGGACTGAACTATGGTCAGCCATGGGCAAAGCCTGTATCTTACCCAAAACGCCACTTGCTAGCCTCGATTTTTTTAAAAAATTAACAACAGTCTTTCTGGGTTGGTTTCACCCTCACATCTCCGAGTTAAATTTATTTCTCTATTTCAAGTGTTTTGAATTTTTTTAAATCTCAAAATCATATTGAATCTATTTCTTTGTGCTTAAAAATTTTTTAAAATCAGAATTGTGCTCTAATAGCAAAATTAGAGTGTCCCTTCCCCCATGTTTTGTCTTTCCTTTGACATGAGAGTGCCGAACTCAACTTGTGGAGCAAGTTGATGCATTCACCATTATCTGATGCAGAGAAAGATTTGCTTCCACATCTCCATACCTACCTTTTAGAGTCTCAGTGTCATAGAAAGTAGCCGCAAACCTGGTGGACCGATGGGATGCCGAGCGAGAATCCAGACTGGTTAGACCTTTGAGCTTCAGCCGGCATCTCCACAGCTTCCAGTCCTCAGAGTGCGTGATTCGCAGCAGTTCCTCCAAACTTGAAGCAGCCCGAATCTGCTGCTCGGATCGTTCCAACATTGGAGATGACCACTTAAAAAAAGAAAAAGCAAATACTGTACATCGCTTTAAGAGTAAGTTACTAAATTTAAAATTTGTCTTGAGAACTTTAATTGCTAATGCTTAAAAGTGTGAATGGATCAGAAGAGAAATTAGAGAGGTTATTCAAATCCACACCAGTGCCTAGGATTTAGGGCATCTAGTATTTCTGACTCACAGGCTGTTAATTTCGGATGGCTTCAGAGAGTTTACTTATTCCCCCTGGGTCCTCAGGACATCTACGAAGAGTACTGTAGTGGGTTGAATGGTGGATTTAAAATGATATGTCCACAACCCAACCCCCAGAACCTGTGAAGATCACCTTATTTAGGAAAAGAATCTGTGCAGATTTGATGAAGTTAAGGGTCTTGGGATGAGATCAGTCTGGATTATCCATGTGGACCCTAACTACAATGTAAAGTGACCTTATAAGAGACAGAAGAGAAGACACAGACACAGGGGGAAAGGCCGTGTGAAGATGGAGGTGGAGACTGAAGTGACATAGCAAAAAGCCAGTGACTTCCTGGAGCCTCCAGGAGTTTGAAGAGGCGGGCAGGATTCTCTACAAGAGCCTTTGGATGGAGCACAGCCTGCTGACACCTTGATTTCAGGCAGCCTTAGGAAATACAGATTTTTTTATCACCCTATTTTTTATAACAGTAGCCAATAACAATCCTTTTCATCTGATACATGCTGAGAGACTTATCCACAAAGGCCTAGGAACCCTGCCTATAGTGGCACAAAAAACATCTGGAGACCCTGATAACCTGACATTTTGAACTTCTAATATTCTTTCTCTCCCCTTCCCCCTTAAACCTGTTTGCTATTTCAAAAACATTATTTTTTTTTCTTGATAAAGTACTCTTCTAGAGTGTATGTTGAGAATTTGCTTTCTGCGCAGGTGCATGAACTGTACTGGCTGATATAATGCAACTGTTGTGGATGGGTGTGTGAAAAAAGAAAGAGGCAATAAAAAATCTCCATCAGGTAACCTCTTGTTCAAAATAGGGGGCTCAGTTACATAAACAATGATACATACATAGGATAAGTACTATGTGATCACCAAAGGAATGATGCAGAGGGAAATTCAGGCAGAATGAACTGAGATTTTCCCTGGGACGTGCTGGAGAAACAATACAATGATCTGTCCATGGTCACGGCCTAGGCTCTCCCTCACTGAGCCTGCAGTTACTGGGTTTTGTTTTGCCAGGTGTGCGGGTATGCAGGCTGAGGGCATTTTTAGAGCTGGGGTAAGAGAAGAGATTAAAGATCAGAAGGGCTGCAGAACTGTGCGAGAGAGGCTGGTGAGAAGGAGAGGTGGACGTCAGCTGCCTGCTGCAGGGAGAGGATGGGCGGGGGCAGAGCTGAGAAAATGGGACTCTGAGGAAGCTTTGTCTCACTAGAGATGTGATGTCTACTCTCCCCCATCACCTTTAAAAAATTAGTTAAAATCTGCATCAGTCATTATTATTTGGGGAGTAGGAATTTTAATTTTGTTTTTAAAGTTCCACAGTAGATCCTGAGAGTTATCCAAAGGCGAGTGTTCAGAAGAGCAAGTATGGTCAAAGTCATGTGTGATTCAGTTCTGATCTCTTTGAAAGTTATTTATGTGGGTATAATGCATTTACACTGATGCATATATATATCCCTTTATGTATATGTGAATAACATCTGGAGACATATCCACGAAAATGTAATCAATGGTTATGCTTTAGATCAGGGGCCATCAGACTATAGCCTCCTCTTCTAATTCAGCCTGTCACCTGCCTGTTCTTCTAAATAAATGGTTATCAGCACACAGCCATGTCCATTTGTTTACCTATTGTCTATGGCTGCTTTCATGCTACAGTGACACAGTTGAGGAGTTGAGACCTTTTTAGAACAGGAGACCATCATGGTGGTTTCAATATGGCGAACCATCCTATTTCTCTCAGTTCTTCCATATCCTCAGTCATTATTGTTTTCATTATTCTCTGTGTAATATTGTCTCTACTTTCTTTACTGAAATACTTAGTAGACATATGTTAGAGCCTTTTCGTCATCTTACATGTGTCTTTAAATGTGCTTTCATATTTATCTCTTTCCCCGTTCATCTCTCTGTAACATGTTATGGGCAAATTAACTGGTTCATCTTCCCAATCACCAGTTCTCCAATATGTGAATTTAGACATCATCATCTGAATGCATACTACTTTGTGTGGTATAATCTGAAGGAAAGTCATTAGTTCTCTTGTTAATTTCTAAGTTCACGTGGGATTCTCCCCTGAGGAAGCACGAGCATCTCCATAGCTCATTAATCTAGGCCATGTGTGACCACAGTGGCAGGCATGATGTTTGGAAAGGTATGACGACAGGGAAAAATGTGGAAGTAGCCATGTTATAGGAAGTCAAAGGCCTTTTGTATTCCCACTAATTTCAACTCTCAATTTCTATCTCCTCTCTTCCTCCAAAAAATATCTAGCCAAGTAATACATTAAAAAGTGAACAAAGGCATGATTTGGGGCTCTCAAGGAGCCCAACTGGGGGTGGGGGAGTGGACAGCAGAAACTTCACTTTGGTTAGGCACAGAGCAGATTTAGGAGTGGGAAAACTGGCAAATAAGATTGTGACACCACTTCACACCCAGTAGCCTGGCTATAGTTAAACAACAACAACACAAAAACTGGTAACACCAAGGGTCAGTGATGCAGAACAATGGGAACCCTCATACACTGTTGATAAGACTGTGAAATGGTACTGTCACTTTGGAAAAGAGTTCAGCATGGTCTTTTTAAAACTAAACACAAATTTCTCATATGACCAACCAATTACACTCCTAGGTTTCTACCCCCAAGAGATAGAAAATAGATTATTGGCTGCCTGGTATTGGGAGTGAGAATGGCAGTTTGTCATAAAAGAGCATAAGCGATTTCGTCTGGATGATAGATGCACAACTCAGTAAGTTCACTAAAAATCACTAACTACTTAAAACTTGAGAATGGATAAGTTTTATAATACGTAGATTGTATATATTTACCTAAAATAAAAAAGGATTGGATGGTTGAAGCCAGGCTATTGTACCTAAATTGGGAGACAATGGAAAATGTCAAAAAACTGAACAATGGAATAGAATCATATGGGGCATCCATTTCATTGATTTGCTCCTTCGTTCATTCTTTTGACTTTGACTTTAGTCCATGTGTTGCCTGTGCCTGGAATGCCTTCCACTCATTGTCTGGCTAAACCTTTCTCAGCTTGGTAGTGCCTTATCAGAGAAACCTCTCCGACAACTCCCACCCCTACCTAGGTCTGGTCCCTCTGTCACATGGATTCCTAGCACTACACCTGGTGCTTATCGCCACTGACACTAATGAATTATTTTATCATTACTTGCTTAGTGTTTGTATTCCCCACTATATTGTAGAAGTCACTTGAACAGTAATGGTATCTGTGTGATTCATATAACAACAGTAAGAGATTAATAAGTACTTTCTAAATGCTAAATGTATGAATAAAATTAATTTCCCAGAAGCTATAGAAAAGTCAACCCTGTGATTATTCATTGACTCAAAGTACATCATTTTCCTTTAAGTGTCTTCCTCCAGCTTTCTCCTTCCAAGTCCCAAACAAGTGCCACTCTTTCTATGAAGCATTCTATGAAGTCCCCAACTTAAAGTTTATTAGTCATGAACACACAGCATTTCCCTTCCTAGACTGTCATCTCCTTGAGTGTAGGATACATGTCCTTTTCATTTTTTATACATAATAAACACTTTATATCTAATGAAACTTATGTAATATGTGTATTAGGTCGTTGGAAAAGTCATGACATATTTTTTTGTCTTTCTATGCAACAATGCGTCATGACGTTCTGACGACCCAATACATATATGTGTGTTTGGCAGATAGTGATTGGGCCCAGTTTGTGTGATCTGTTTAATCTTCTGTATAGAGTACTGTTTCTCAGAATTTAATGTGCATACGAATTTCCCAGGGATCTTTTTATAATGCAGATTCTGATGCTGTAGGTTTGGAGTGAGACCTAGGATGGTGCATTTCTAACAAGCTCCCAGGTGATGGCAGTGCTGTTGGTTGGCTGCTTATACTTTGAGGAGAGTTTAGAGCAGAGGTTTTTCAACCTTGGCTTCCCCTTGAATCTATCTGGGAAGTCGATTTGAAGAAATGCTGATGCTTGGATCCTGTCCTCACAGATTCTCATTTTATGGGTCTGGACTGCAACTTTGCCATCAGGATTTTTCTTTTTTAAATCTCCCCAACTGTTAGCCATAGTAGAAGCTGGATGAGAGATATAAACAAACTCTCTATACTATCTTCACAACTTTTCTAAAAATTTAAAACTCCTTCAAAGTGAAAAGTTGATTAAAAAAATCTTCCCAAGAAATTTAAGTGGGAACCACTAATCTGAGGCACTTGCATGGTGATATTTAGCTCGAAGGCCTAGATTAGTGGCTGAGCTCTGTACAAGTTCACTCGTCTGCAGCAGGGGAGAATTGGTCAATGCATGCTGGGAAATAGTCGTATTCTTTAAATCCCATTAAGCTACTCCTTGGGTTCAAAATATTTGAATCAGTGTCCAGCACTGACCTGAATTTTTGAAGCCTTTTCCTAACTCAAGTCACCTGTTAGTTGACTACTTCCTAGCCTGTGTGATGTTTTCAAGATTGAAGACCAGCAACATGATTTCTCAGGCAAAGCAGCAGGATGAGTTTGGCCATCGTAAGTGAAACCATTGATTCAATTACCTCTCAAATTCCCAAAAGCCAAAACCACTAATTTCTCAAAATCAAATGAAGAATAATAGGTACTGGGACAGCCCTGTGGCCTAGTGCTTAAGGGAGCTGGATCCCACATGGTTGACTTCATAGTCCAAATCCTAGCCCCAGTGGCTTGAAATACACAGCAGACGTGTGTGCGTGTCTCAAACCCCTATGGGCTAAAGAAATGGAGGAGAAGGAACTGCAGTGTGACCATACCACATTAGGGTGCTTTCTTCC